GGCTAGAGCCGAGCCGTGTGTACCGAGAGAGAGCATCGTCGAGTGGCGTTTGTCATTGTCTGGCTTATAGGGTGGTCGAGAGTGGGGACGGAAAGGTACAGTCCGATCGAGAAATTAGCTCGTTGTCAGAGGTTACACGATCTCGCGCAGTTGTGCTGCGCTTCGAGATAACTTTTGGTTCGAACTGTACTAGACAATGACAGACGCCACTCGACGATGCTCTCTCTCGGTACACACGGCTCGGCTCTAGCGCGCGTTCCAGTTAGTATATATTTCAGTGGCTCTAGCGCGCGTTCCAGTTAAGCCTGCCACAGACTACACGCAGCAAGCGGCAAGCGTCGAGCAGCGAGGATCCAACACTGCTGAATTTTGCGGAAGCGTCAGCAGTGGCGTAGAAAATATCTCTTCGTTGATTGGCTGCTGCTCGACGCTTGCTGCTTGCTGCGTGTAGTCTGTGGCAGGCTTTAGTATATATTTCAGTGCTTCGGCCAAACGCGCAGTCTATGTATTATACATCCCATAGCCCCAAGTAAATCGCCGGCGTGGCCACTCTCAGGTTTCTCCAGGTTTCTCCCTGCTCTAACCTAGTGATGATCGATGTATTGCAATGTTTGTAAATCGGAAGTGAAAGCTGCGAGATAATCCTCGCAAAATTCTTTTCATTTTTATCACAATGCTAATGAACAACGAAAATGAATAGCTTAGGTTTAAATATAATTTTTAGAATGGGTTGTATATGCACTAAAGAGATCATCACGGTAAACTCGACGAAATATAAGGTCTGCGAACACCTCGGAGATGGGCAAGTTTTATCAAGCAATTTTTCATAATATAATTTTGTTTCACAATTATATTTATCGAATGTTATTGTTGCGTACACGTAAAGTAACGTACTTCACGTAATAATATTCATATAATTGTTTCTAAACAATTATCTAAAATTCGCTCAACACTAGAAAAACCAAGATTTTTTTCAAAAGAACAATATAGTATCATTACTTTTGTAAAAGTAATTAATAACCTTAAAAAAAAGTGTAATAACTAGCAGTACAAGTAATTTTTCACCTAAATTTTTAGTGGGTTCAGTACAGTACTTTTAGTTGAGGACATTGTCACACATAGAAAGTACGCTATTAAGAAAATTATTTGTCATGGACTAGAAGATCAACAATTGGCAGCAAAAGAAGTTGAGTACTACAAATTGATAAAGCATCCCAACGTTATAAAATACATAGATTCGACTTGTGAAGGCACAGCAGACCCAGTCCTGAATACAACGAGTGAAATGTTAATTGTCTTACCGTATTATCATGTAAGACACGGTTGTTTAAATATATAATATTTGAAATGTAATGCATTATAAGTCAATTAACTTTTGTTATTTTAGAAAGGAACTTTAGCAAATGATTTAGAAAGACGAGCAAAGAATTGCGATTACATGAGTCCTATGGATATTCTGAGAATGTTTTTGCAGATCTGCGAAGGTGTAAAAGCATTTCACGATGCTAAACCAGAGCCTCTCGCTCATAGGGATTTAAAAACTGCAAATATAATGCTCAGCGATGATGGAATACCTATTATCATGGACTTGGGTATATAAAATTTTATATTAATACTTATTTATATTTATATTAATAATTGTATTATCCACTGATCTCGTTTGCAAGGTTGTATCTCGATTTTATACAATTTCCAATTTTTCTGCTTAAACGCTCATTCTGACCCAGAAAATATATGAATATACATACATATACGTGTGTGTTTGTATATATATTTTTTTTCTGTCCTTAAATATAATTTAGGTTCTGTAGCAAATGCCAGAGTTCAAGTATGTGGTACCCAGGCTGCACGGACTTTGCAAGACTTAGCAGCTGAAAGATGTTCCATGCCATATAGAGCGCCAGAATTATTCAATGTTGAGAGTTATTGTATGGTTGACGAACGAACAGACATTTGGGTAAGAGCTATAGTGCTTAAATATACATTTGCCTTAATTCAAGACATGTATTCTAAATTTAATATATGCCTTTTTAGTCATTGGGATGTATACTGTATGCATTATGTTATTTTAAATCTCCTTTTGATACTGTTTATGAACGAGGCGACAGCGTAGCTCTTGCTGTAATTAGTGCACATGTAACGTTTCCAGAAGATACTCCGTATAACGAGGTTGTAATCTGTTATATATTATGCTTCTTTTAGGTCTGTCCACTGTTAATATCTGAACGTTTTTCATAGTTTAGGAATTTGAGTTTTGAATAGTAATAGAAAAATTGAGCAATGAAAGATTTCTTATAAAAGGACTTCTTTGGAGGAAACTTTGAAAATAAATAGTTTATGTGATGCTAATAAAAAGTGACAATGAATGTGACTTTTCTAATAAGCTATTTAACCATTGCAAGTCAAAATAAGGTGTTATTCTAGCAGTATTAAGAGGAGGATTACAATGTGTTATTGAATAGAACTAAACAGTTGGTCATTTTTATTAATATAGACATGTATTTAAGTGAAAAATATATATAGAAGACAGTCCTCTATTATGAGATAGGATTTTAATATGAGATAGTAGGTTTTCAACGTCCGAATTCAATCGCAAATCTTTTTTCGCAACGATTACACGATTTAACAATCAATTTTCCACTAAACGGATTTCACCCCAAAGGCAGTAAATTCATGGTAAAGAATCGACAGATGCCTATTAATTTAGCATGAACTCCGCTATCTGATATTAGGAGCCTATCTCAGAAGAGGAGACTTTCTTCTATGCATGTAAAAATATGTAAACGTGCAGGGTTTTCCAAAATATCGGAATCTGGAATAACTTTGAGGGATTAAGTTTTCAAAAAAATATATTGGTCAAAAGTTGTTTAAATTAATTGATAAGAAAAGATGATAGAGAAATAGATATTTTCATAAAAAAAGAAGACCATGACTTTGGCAAAGTCACCTAAAGGCAAACTGTAATAAGACTAGTAAATAATATGTTAATCAATGTGATCTATTGTCCATCTGTCATTAATAGTACTAGAATGACGCCTTATTTTGGTTTTTAAATGCTTACAGCTAAACGGCATGTTAGAAAAGGTCATGCTCATTGTGACTTTAAATCAGTATCGCATAAACTATTTATTTTAAAGTTTATTTTTAAAAAGTTTCATCCAATTTCAGTAAAATCCAATTTTTAATAAGAAGAGTACAGAGTCCTTTAATCCTGAGATAATTCTATTTTGTTTTTAAATTATTTAATTTATTTTAAATTGTGTATCAAATATTTCTATATTGTCATGTTCTCAAATTAAAATATTTCTTTTTATTAATATCTAGAAACTAGAAAAATACAAATAAATCTATCTACATGACAAAAATTTCTTTTAACAAATATAGTCAAATTTGTATGTTTTTATATTATACATACATATTTGTATATGTATGTATACATATATGCTGTCATGTAATCAAACATGTTTGTCTTATGTTTTCATAATTTAGAGTTACTGATAATTACATTTACGTATTTGGCATTGCAATGTTGCCAGGTTGTTTAATATTAAAATTTTTACTTATATGAATTTATATACAATGTGTAATATTATGATAAAAATTATCATTGGAAGATATGCAAGATAATTGTTAATTTTTTAAATTTAGTATTTTGTAGTGTAGTTTATAATATATGTATACATATATGCATATGTATATAAAATTAATAAAGTCGTACTTTGTTTTACAAAAGTTTTAAAGAATTAATTTTTTTACAATAATTCTAAAACTATATTTTGATGTCCTATACATTAGGACTTGTGTAAAATTTTAATTTTATTGTGTAAAATTGTGATTATTTTTACAAATAAAATAAAAGTTTAGCTTAAATTTTGAATAAAGCGTGTGTATTGTGTGATTTATATACATATATATACACACACACACATACTCACACATATGCATGTTTGTACATTTAACTCTTTATTTCGTTTTCTCAACACAAAATTACTTTTCATGGACAGACTTTATCAGAGTGGTATGATTTTTCTATAGATAAATGATATATTTCTTTTTCAGGATGTACAAAATTTAATTTTGTCGATGTTAAAAGTCAATCCAATGGAACGTCCATATATATATAGTGTGATAGAGAGTGTGCACGATACTGTCGTTAAATTGACACATAAAGCATAAACATATCATCATGTAGGTTGTTACAATAATTGGACTACACATATGAAAATAACATTGAATTGTATATAGGAAGCCAGATATAAAATTGATGCAATTGTATATGATATTATGCAGGCCTGTACACAAGCAATATAAAAAATATGCTGAAATACATTACACACTAAGATGTGAATATTTCAAATATTTCAGTATGAAAGATTTTAAATGACCAAGTTAAGGATTACAAGAATAAAAATAATTACGAGAGGAAAATAAAGTTTATGAAACTTCTGAAAATATAGGAGACATGAAGTCAGAATACATTCCTTGTATTTTATAATATATGATTATAATATAATCAATATAAAGAGTAAAATAAGTGAACATATTATTTTAATATACACAATTTTAAGAAAGAAAGAAATGTGTATACACAGAGAAAGAGAGTGTGTTACTTTTGATTTATAGTATGTATATGTATATATGTATGCATTTACTTTTTGATGCAGCCTAGTTTTAAGTGTAATAGTATAAGTACAAAGAACTTTATAGATTTGTACTTAGAACTGTTATAAATTCTAAGAAGTAGAAATAATTCTATAGGATATTTCTTCCCTCTTTCTTACTTTTATTGATAGACTTTTTAACCAATATGTAATAAATTTTTCTCTTTAGTGAAAATGTTAAGAACAAGTTTTATTAGTATTTAAAAACAACTTGCAAATTAAACTTTAAATAAATTACAAAATTTAATGAATTAAAAATAAATGAACTTAAAATATTAATTTTTAGATAATTTTATATAAAGCTTACTAGAATTTTAAAGTTTGATTGTAATGTATACATGTTTAGAATGTTGCGATAAATAATTTTCTTTCCATTTTTTTTTAAGAAAAGATTGATTAAAAATTGATAATTACAAAAATCATTAAAATGGTCAAATCATAAAATATACAAGTGTAAAAATAAACTAATAAGATAACTTACATAACATTACAGTAAATGTACATATGTATATGCACACACAGAGATAATATATTATATTCATATTTTATATAATACAAATAAAAAAATGTCATGTTACGCGTACACATGGTTGGGAAGTAACGCGTTACTTGTAACGCCGTTACAGTTACTTTCGTTTGGTAACGAATTGGTAACGGCGTTACATTTTTTCTTCTGTAACTAACGGTAACATAGTTACTTTTTTTTAGTAACGGTAACAAGGAACGAATCGTTACTTTTTAAATAATAGTAACGGTAACTAGTTAGTTTTTTATTCGGTAACGAGTAACGGTAACTAGTTACTTTTTAATTCTGTAACGAGTAACGGTAACTAGTTATTTTTAAAAAGTAACTCTTCTATCCTTGCGTATACACACACATGCACACTGTCGTTGAACATGACGTTTTTTATTTGACAAATTACTGATTTGATATTACTTGGCAAATTATTTGTAAATATTAAATTTTCTTATATTTTTAATAAATTTTATAATTTCCTTATATAATCATTGTAAAACTATTGTATAGTTTTTATATAAAATATTAATAACTTAAAAATAACTTAAAATATATGCTAAAGCTGAAACATCTTGTGTAATTAGAATTAATGCATAATTTGAAATACAAGTGAATTACAAATACTTCACAAATTAATATCAGTCGATCTGACCAACATCTATAAATATTATATTTACTTATTTTGTGTTGTATGTACATATTGATTATTATTTAGCGATTGTCGTTTCTGATATTGATTTATATATTGGATTCTTACATTTATTTCTATTGGTTATTTTTAATTTACACACAATTATATTTTATTGCGATTAAACTTTAAAGAGACAACCTTGAATGGTGGATGCTTTTAAATCTATTATGATTCTATCAATATATTGATATATTTATATATCAGCAACGCAATTTTGTTTTCTTGAATCATAATACGATTTACAGTTACATTTTTAATGAGGTATTCATGCATCAAATACAAATGGCAAAAGAAAAATTATCTTTACTGCACACAATTCAAATGCTATAAATGCGCGTGAATTGTTTCCGATTATCAAATGGTTATTTTTACCGCTAGACTTGATTTAATTAATCTACTCGAAATTTGTTCTTTAGTTATTGTGGAAATTCTGTAAAGTTCGATATCTAATGGGGTAGAAAAAATGACTTAATACTTAGAATTGTGGGTACGTGCAAGTTTTCATTTACACCGAGTATGGAAGAGATATATATGCCATTTTTTTCATACCGCAAATAAATATTTGTACATTTTTGTAATTAATGTAATATTTTCCCCCTATGACTATTTCAACAAGTGTTCTATCCCAGATAGCTAAATCTGTCAGAACAGATTTCGTCAAACACCCACTGCAAATTTTCAAGGCAGAAAGACTGTAGATTACAAGAACTGATGTGTTCGATATGTTGCCAGCATGTATGCGGGAATACAATCAAATCTGCCCACATAACTGGACCCGCTCGGTTGCTGCTGGCAATCTGTTGACAGCGAATGCTTTACAGACTTTGGGTGCTTCCCAGCAAGAGACAGTGTACAACACGAGAGAATCATTTCATCGTTGTCTAGCAATGGCAAGCAACAAAGATAAAACGATTCATTGTGTTAAGCCCAATGTCCACGATGCTAGAACTTGGACCAAGTTCTAGCATCGTGGACATTGGCCTTTACACAGTAGACTTGTCTTCTGTTCCTAGAGGAACTAGTTATTGCACCAGTTCCTAGTGAACCAATAGCAATAAATTAGAGTAAGACAAGCATATTTTTTTCTCATTCTAGTCTACTGCACTAGTTCACCAGAGGGTCAATTCTGTATCTAAAGTGAGTGGCTTCGTCTCTTTCTAACTGTCCCCTTAGAAAGAGGCAGAACCGTTCACTTTTTAGCATTTTCACTATATTGCAAAATACAGAATCGACCCTCGGCGCAGAGGAACAGAAAACAAACCGGGTGTCGTCCGCGTACGTTGCTGGAAAGCACCCAGTTGCTGCCCAGACAAAGAGCCAGATGCAGACACAGATAGCTATAGGTTTCGTTGGTGTGGATTTCTAATAAATCTGCTGCCAATTTGCCGACATTCTGCTGACTGGAATTAAATGTTATTTAATACCTCGCATAAAATATATACGGTAGATCGAGCAAAGTCACGATAAAAATTGACGCGATACATCACATACGCTGCGATTCCTAAGCGAGATCCGAACACGCGATACCTGAATTTTGTAAATTGCACCATCTCTACTTCTAACCGGCTCCACGCGTTCAACGATCGTACGATGTGACGTTTCCCGTGACGTCACCATCGTCGCATTTACAATACAATGGCGGCCGTAGCCAACCTGAGAGCGTGAAATCTGATATTTTTTTAAATACACACAATTCGCGTAAAATTGAGACTTATTGTTTATTACTTGTAGATTTCGTTGCCACGCAATTAAACCCGCTCGTAGAATCGAGAGATAATAATGCCGCTTTAACGTTTATTAATTGTAGAGGTTCGAGGCGTCCCCGTTATATTTCGTTCCGGTATTGTGGCAATATTCTCACACATCAAGGCACATCAAGAAGAGTAATCTCAAGCAATCTTTATGGCAGTGTAAGCGTAAGCGGATGATGTTACATCGTGTCACTCCCGCAATTGTTCAAGATCCGTCAAACGTTTACCATTCGTCACGTTAGCGGCGTTGTTTGTGGCCTGTGAGTAAAGTCGCCATTGAAATACAATTAAATACTCGATAGAAATAGAAGTCTAAGTTGATTGCGCAAATGTCTCAAGTTCCTAACCTTTTTCACATTCCGTTGTGGTGAATTTCACGGCGGACCTTTCACTACGGCACAGTTAGAGCTTCGCATATGCAACTATTTTGCGTTATTTATTCAAAACTGCAACAAATAGTGAAGTTATGACAGTGCCGTTCGAACGCACAGTAGTGGAAAAATATTCGACATTAAGCGGGTTTAGAGCATTTATTGTTACCTTTGCAATATTGAAAAAAATGTTACGGCAAATATTTTTTTGTGATATTCAATAATGTCTAACGTTGAAATTATTCATCATTTCATCAGTTAGAATTTAATGCTAATGTTATTATTTTTTACATTAAAAATATAATTTATGATTAGCAGAATATTATATTGTTTTTTAATTCCAAATATTTGATTTCCTTTGCATTTTAAGATTGAGGTAAATATCTTTTATTTGACATTTGTAATTTTTTAACATTTCTTATTATATTGTACTTAATATTTTATTATATTGTATATTATATTTTTTGATATTTTTATTTTATTTGATAGTAGTTAATGAAATTTGTTGAAACTCGAAGAAAAGTCTTTTCCAAAGGGACAAAATGATTTAAAATATATAATATGTTATATAATTTCTTAAAGGAATGTCAACTTATTACTTAACATATATTTGAAGATTTTTATATCGATATCACGAAGAATAAATTAATACTAATCTACCAATTAATGCTAATCTGCACAAAGAAAAGAAAGTGTTGAATCAAGAGATATTTCTTGAGTCAACTAAATGCGGCGAACACGGGCCGCACATATTAATCAATTTACAAACAAAAAGTCTCGATAAATCACTCTATGTCTAACTTAAAAACATATAAATTGAATTAAAGACATACTGACTAGCCGTGCCTTGTCGTTTCAATAACTTTTTTCTCGGTGTGTTGATTGCCTATGCGCACGTTTATTGAGCGCGCACGCGCGTTTACATATATAAATATCTACAATAGAAGGATCATTTCATACTACTAAGAATTTCTAATCCCTAGGAAACGTATACCCGTTGGTTTTTACTGTGCTATTTGAAATGCTAATAATTTACGTAATATCGACATGCACACGTACGTTCCACATTTTTAATTACGCAAGCAAGAAATGGTAAAAATGCAACGCGTTAAAAACTCGAGATACACAGTTCGGTTCTTTATTTCCGTGGCACATTTGTCGTTGCTTGCAGGTAGATAACGTTGACAGATAACGTTGGAAAATTGTTTTATAAATAGTTCACATTTACGACACAGTTCTCACGATTCTAAATTATATATATGTTTTAATAATATATTTATAACAATTATAATTATGATGTATATATTTTATTATATATGTGTACATATTATTTATATAAACAGTTGATTATAACTAATGTGTAATCAATTGTGTCCAAGTATTTTTATCTGAAAGTATATAATGTCAACTTATTTTCCATTGAAAAATATTTGAAATGTTAATACAAATGGAATAGTTTCAGTAGTTATAATAATTCTTTTCTTAATTTGTAAACGTATTTATGGAACAAATGTTAACTTTCGTCCTTTATCTTCATCGATCACAAAAAGAAGAGATATACCTGTTGTGTGTGATTGTACAAAAATGCGAATTTACAATGTTTCAAGAATGGTGCACACATTCGCCCCTTTTTGCACTAAATAAGACAATTAACAAAAATGAAGCGGAAAGTTTTCACTGATCATTAAACTATAAGGTTTTATTATGTGGTTTTGTATATGGTTTGGGCAAAAAATTAATCAAAGATGAGCATTTTGATATTAAAATTCGTTGAATTTGAGCTTTGAACGTCACTGTAAAGACGACGGTAAAGTTCGATCTTGCTGCGTGCAACCAAACGTTGCGTGTCGGTTGTGTTGCTAGTAGAGCTGCAATCTCGACAGCCAAAAAGTTTAAAAATCGAATTTACGCTGATATTTAAGCTCGAAGTCAGCGGATTTTAATATCAAAATGCTCATTTGTGATTAATTTTCAGCCTAAAACCATACAAGACCACATTATACAACTTTATACAATAGTTTTATCAGTAAGAAGTTAGCTTTATTTTCGCATATTTTTCATAATCCTTTGATTTAGTGCAAAAAGGGGCGATTACGGGCCTGTTTTGGGCAATACTTTTTGTGACTCGCAAGACTGATCGAATGTACTACGCGACGATTATTTATAACTAATTGATTAATTAATTCGAAGAGAGCAATAAGTGAAAATGTCCTTTTTATTTTACTTTAACACACACACACACAACACAAATTCATAATTTTGCTAAGATATCTTTGCTCCCACATTACAAAAATTGTAACATGGTATGATTGATCAATTTTGTGAATCACTGTGCATTACGTTATTCAACAGAAAATTATTTTTGTTGAATGTTTAAACGAACGAAGATAATTGTCAACGAAAGAGTGTAAGTCGCCAGTAGTTTATTATCGGTAGAAAGAATTGTTCAACGACGTTAGGCTGGCAGATGTCTTTATTAGTTAGATTCCAACGTTTCGACCATACGGATTGTGGTCCTTTTCAAGGAAATAGGTGTTAAATAATAAATTATCAAAGATATATCAAATTTTACACGCGGCGGGCGATTTCATTTGCTTAGGCGTTGTAAATACACACTTCAAAAACTTACACATGAAAAAACTGTTTGCACCTAGCGTTGTTGCCTTGCCAGTGGACCAACAAATCTGCTGCGCAAGCGCAACAATGCGACACTTTGACATCAGTCCTACTTTGGTCGTTACGTCGGATTGACGTGCCTTCGAACACCTTTCTCCGAATGACACCCAAGGATGGATTGTAGACCGTTCCTTTGATATATCTTTGATAATTTATTATTTAACACCTATTTCCTTGAAAAGGACCACAATCCGTATGGTCGAAACGTTGGAATCTAACTAATAAAGACATCTGCCAGCCTATCGTCGTTGAACAATTCTTTCTACCGAAGATAATTGTTTTTCATAGTTTTTGGGAACTGAATACGGTATTTATAGTAAATTTTTATTTTCATTAACAGCTGGCTACTCGCAATACTTCTACACTTTATTAACACTTGAGCATATGTTATCTCGTACAAGTACCTTGTATATCTCATAACGCAAGCCGCACGCCTTGCGGTTTTGCGATCACCAAATCTAATCTCTTCGACTAAACATATTCCGTATTTTCCCATTAATACAATCTTATTTAAGTAAATGACGATATGGTGTACGTAGTTGAAGAGAACGAGAAAAAACAGACGTTTTACAATAATCTACTGGTTTAACGTTCCTCATATTCAAGAAACGAATCACCGATCAAATTTTACACGCGGCGGGCGATTTCATTTGCTTAGGCGTTGTAAATACGCACTTCAAAAACTTACACATGAAAAAACTGTTTGCACCTAACGTTGTTGCCTTGCCAGTGGATTAATAAATCCGCTGCGCAAGCGCAACAATGCGACACTAGTGCAATTGCGGCAGCATTAAAAATAGGAACTTACTTTGGGATATCCCTCGTGGATCAGAACTATCGTCAAAAGTATCGGAAATTGTCAGAAAAATGCTTTACTGCTACAAAGATTCAAAACTGCGTACAAAATTGTTAATTGTCGAATTTTTGTCCAGAAGCGCTACATAATTATAAAATTAGTTCAGAATTAACTGGAACTCGTGGCAAGTGTGTTATTCAATGGGTTCTTGTACTTTAGAGGACACTGTGTCATGCTAGAATATAAAGTTATCACATTTTTTTTCATTTTGATTAAAAATGTGGAACTTTTTCAAATGTTTATCAGGGACTGTAGGAATGAAAAGTGCTACTGTAACTGTAAAATTCTTTTAAGTTAATAAACCGTCGTATCAACTTTATAAACACATATGTAACACAAAAATATATTTATGTAACTTTATGCGAGATTTTTGTTTTAACACAAATAATAGAAATATGCCTTAAGCCCGTATCAGACTACGGATTGGGATTGGGATTAGATTGAAATTTAACCAATCGCAGTAAAGTTTACTAATCTCAAGTTCAGTAACTTTTACTCTGATTGGTCAAATTTCAATCTAATCCCAATCCGTAGTCTGATACGGGCTTTACACAGTACAACTAGATTTTTACATTAATTAGTAAATCATTCAGGTTTAAAGAAAAACGAAACCAAACAATAGTAACAAAACGTCTATTTAACTATAAGAGTAAATAGGAATTTATTCTGACTTCTTAATTAAATAGCTATTCTTTATTGATAATCTTATATCATTTTTTGAGCAGCAAATGTGATCACAATGGACGTCTTTTTAGATGAAAAAGTTATTGAGATATTTTTATTGTCATCTATCTTGAAATGCGTATCCGCCAAATAGTATTTTAACTAATCTGTAAAACATTAAGATGTCTTATAAGACATCCCAAAGTTATCTTCAAATTTTTTCACTTAGGAGATGACTTTAGCAGAATATCTTGCACTTTTAAAACAGTTTTTTTCTTTGAAGTCTTTGTTTTACGTAACACACAAGCAGTGCCTGGGCAGAATGGCTGTCTTGTACTCTTAAGACATAAGACAATTATTGTGCGTTACCTCAATACAAAGGCTTAAAACATTGTCCTAATGCTGTTTTAAGTGTATAAGACAGCCTCAAGACAATGTTTTATGTTTTAAGCCTCCAATGTATCATTTTATTCTTGTTGTTTGCCGAATGTTAAACAAGAATAAAATAATATACTGGGGAACTCGGATGTTTCCGAACGCAGCCTGAAGCCTATCATACTGTGGCAGGTAACAGGTAATAGAAAAAGGGGATAGAATTTCCGACGCGTTGGATTGGTCAGAAAAAATTTTTCGACCAGTGATAGACTTAAGATATCTTTTGGACTACGTTCCATTTTCTAATACTTGTAAAAAGTATCATTTGTCCTTGTTAACGTTTGCCACGGAGGATGAGATAAATCTAAGGGCATTGTAAAGTATTAAATGGAACGTATCCTAGGTCAAATTTTACATCTAAGATGTCTTAAAATATCATCTTAGAAAATATGTCTTTTCTGGGAATGATCTGAACAAGTGATAACCTCAAGTGTTCATTGAATAAGCCGTGTGAGAGAGAATTTTTTAGCTCGAAAAAAGAATGCTATCTTTTGTCGTCTTTGCTGAATATGCATGAACATTTTCATGGAGCAAAATAGCTTTGCAATTATTTTGACTAGTAAATAGCTTTTGCATTCAATTTTATTGCTTAAATTTATGAGCTGTTGATAGCTCTCGACAACTGTTTCTCTTATCCTTATTTAGTAATATATTAGCTCTTTCATGCATCTCCAGATACAATATATCTTTTTAACATGTTGTGTTTTGACAGCTGTTGTCCAACTAGTATTTATTTTTGACTGTTAGCATTTAGGATTATAGCAAAGTATTCCTTTGTCATCATTTAATAATTGTATAAAAAAAAGCATATAAATCTCGACCAAGTTTTGCATAATTACTTTTTAGGGGGCTGCAAAAAGTATAAATTACTATAAAACCTTCACACTCCATCTCCTCTCTCTAGCTTCATCCATTTGACACTTCGAGGCAAATTAGCTATCGTAAACGTTGGATTTAAGCTAGTTGATTTCATCTAATTTTAAATAAAAATATCTTTTTTATCATTTTTTGCAATCATGTTAACAAAGGTAATGCCGTAGAGTACTGTAAATGACAGTAAATAACTTTCAAAGTTGAACGTTTTGGCTAAGTTGTTTCATTCATTTTGAGTCTGCATTATGGTCCAACACCTGTTGCAATTCTTTATCATAAAACTTTTGAGGGAGCGGAACTTTCATGCCGTTGACATGCAATTAATAATTTTTTGATTCGGTAACAAGTAACAATAAATAGTAAACAGCCAATTATACAATATTTAAAAAGTATCTTTTCTAATCCTATTTATCTATCAGTAGTACAATCAGTTCAATATATATATAAGTAGTCCGTTGATATGTAAGTACATAAGTAGTGCGTTGATATGTCCGTAATATGCCTCGGTGGTCGAATTGATTGAGACGCCCGCCTAGAGTGTAGGGAAGTCCAGGTTCAAACCCTGGCTGAGGTAATATTTTTCGCAATACATTTTCTGTATTATTAAAATTGGCCAGATACGGCCAATAAAAATCTCTGATGCTGTTAATTACTGCTGGCGACTTTTAAGAATATTCTCATTAGTCCGTTGATATGCAATATGCATATATGTGGAATGAAAGTGAGAAGGAAAGAGATAAAACGACATTGTGTATAAAAAAAACTTTACAGAATCGTACGATATCTCGTGATATCGTGCGCGCGGAGATGGTACGATGTTACATATCACTGTAGAGTCACATTGAACGTTCAGTTAGCTGCCATAAGTGACGGCAAGAACTGTGTTAAGTCAAACATTTTCGGCGCTTTGTAAACATTAATATTCATTTGTTCTAAAAAGTTTAACACTAAGGCCTATAAATGTTATATGAAAATAATAAAACTACTACTGCTCGTAGTTTTTGCGAGTAAATTGAAAGCTTTGAAAATCGATTAACATCTATATTTCTCATTGGTTTATAATATACACGTTTTATACCTAATATCTTTTGCACGAATATTTATCGACATAAAAAAATTATTATTTCTTCAGTAAATAGGTACGTGATATAATTATACGAGTGAAAAAGCAATATGATCAAAATACTATTTAGATTATAATATTTTTTTCATAATTGTTCATAAAAGTTTGCATTATTTTAGAAATTTGGGTTACAAATAAAATTTTATTAATAATCAACTTGTCACTAAAGTGTTGAATCTTTCTCATGGGAATTTATTGCAAAATAAATATAAAAATAACCTAGCGAAACAAAACGAATTATGTTATCCAAAAAGTTAAATCTAACTTGTTTGTTAATTTGTTGACAGAAATTTCTAAACAATGGCAGCAAAAGCAATTCGAGAAGCAACTGGGAAGGATTTAATCAATCGTAAGCTTCCTATTGGAACAAAGGCAGCAAAATGTAGATTTGTACTTATTACGGAAAGTACAAACTGGATTGATATTGTCAACGAATATCCATGGCTCAAAACAGAAAGATTAGTTGTTAAGCCAGATCAATTAATCAAGCGACGGGGAATACTCGGATTAATTAAAGTAAATGCAGATTTAAGTACGGTACAAAAATGGATTGAGCAACACATGAACAAAGAGCAACGCATTGGCAAGACAGTCGGAAAATTAAAAACATTTATAATTGAACCGTTCATACCGCACAAACCGGTAAGTCTTACTTTATTATTTTTATACATATATACAGTGCGTCCAAAAAGTTCCAGGACTACTTTCATAAAATAACAGTTTGAATAAACAATTTCATTTCATTTATAATTTAGCATAATATTTGTAGAATGGTTGCTATGTAAAAAAGGTGCTAAACATCCTTCGTTGTAAATCTTTGAATGTTTTTTTATTAAATTATCAGAAAATAATTTTCCAAACAATTTTTAATGTTTGATGAAAAATAGAAATTTAATAATAAAAAAATTTTTTAAATAACAGTATAGCCATCTGTTGATAAATATTTATGAGCTGGAAAGAATGTGTTTAAATATGTTGAGCAGTCAAAAATTACCAGAGTTTGACAATTCTAGTCAGATTCAAATGGTACAATTCAAGAAAAACTTCATTATTTTAAAAAATTTACCGTTTGGTTTTATCCAGTGTTGAGATAATTAAGCCTTTCCAATAAAAAGACCCAATCGATATTCTTTTGACCTTCAACTTTATCTGTTCGCACTTTTGATGGCCATAGCTTGTTTGGACATTTTTATCGGTATTTGATGTTTCAGTAAATGATTAAGTTTAATGTAAAACTTTAACAGCACGATTGCTTTCTTAACAAGCAAGAAAAATTTTGAATTTCTATTATGTATCAGTAGCTTAGACTATATTGACAGATCGTACAAATTGGATACAAAAGGTTGACAAATATAATAAAAAAAATTTTAATAATTTTCGAAGAAATGACGCTCGGAATATTCACATAATATGTATAGAGTTTCGGAACTTGTTAGACACTTTACATGTAGTGTTCTAAATAATATCTATTTTAAAAAGTCGAAAAATCAGTACTTATAAAGTGTGTAATGTACAATATCACATATTTAAATATTTGTAATATTTACATTATAGGAAGAGGAAGCTTATGTCTGTATCTATTCTCATCGCACAGCTGATACAATATTATTTCATCATCAAGGAGGCATTGATATCGGAGATGTCGATGCAAAAGCTTTAAAATTAGATATACCGGTTGGTGGTGAGATACCCGATCGGTCTACATTGATTAATAGACTTTTGACATATGTGATGGACGATAAAAAAGCGTAATTATGTTCAAATCATCGTAAATAACATTATTTATGTTACAGCTTTTTATTTTACTTTTTTTCCCCCCTTTTATTTTAGGGTGATCGCTGAATTCATAGAATCTCTCTATAAACTTTACGTTCACCTATATTTTACATACTTGGAAATCAATCCGCTGGTGATAACGGACACGGCAATTTATATTCTCGACCTTGCCGCCAAATTAGATACTACGGCGGATTTTATATGTAAACCAGATTGGGGAGAAATCGATTACCCGCCGCCATTTGGAAGAGACGCTTATCCGGAGGAAGCCTATATAGCTGATTTGGATGCTAAATCAGGCGCCAGTTTAAAGCTGACGATACTTAATCCAGACGGTCGCATATGGACTATGGTTGCTGGCGGTGGTTGGTAGACACAATCATATGTAAAATAGATTTGCATTTACTCTCTCTTACAATTTTTTCACGTCAAATAATTTCTTTGTGCTTGAATATCATATTGAATTAATTTTTACAGGTGCGTCTGTGATATATTCAGATACAATTTGCGACTTGGGAGCAGCTGGTGAATTGGCCAATTATGGTGAATACTCTGGCGCTCCTAGTGAACAACAAACTTACGAATACGCAAAAACTATATTGAGTTTGATGACAAAAACGAAGCATCCTGATGGAAAAGTACTTATTATAGGAGGAGGAATTGCCAATTTTACAAATGTAGCTGCGACATTTAAAGGCATTGTTAAGGCCTGTCAAGAATATCAGCCTAAGCTAGTGGAACATGATATAAGAATTTTTGTAAGAAGAGCTGGGCCTAATTTTCAAGAAGGATTAAGGTAAAAAAGTATTTATTATCAAGTAAAAATTAGTCATTCATAATAACTACTTTATGAAGCATGATGCGAAAAAATAGCTCGAAACTTTTCAATTTATTGTAGTTTTTCATGAGGACTATCACTGTATAAGCAGTGGATGTAAATTAGTTTGCACCCTGTATATATGTATATAATATTTAAAAGAATATTATTTTAATAGGATTATACGAGAAGTTGGTAGACGTTTAGGAGTTCCTGTTCATGTGTTTGGCCCTGAGACACATATGACAGCTATATGTGCTATGGCACTAGGGACGAAACCAATACCCGATCCAGAAGCTCAAGAATTTTCAACTGCAAATTTCCTTTTACCTTCTGGACAAGATGTTGATCCACCATCCAAGAATGTACATTTATCATCGGAGCAGTGTAATTTGAAAACTGCAGACGCAGTAGATTCAAGTGATGATGGCAGACAACTTTTCAGCAATAAAACAAGATCCATTATTTGGGGTATGCAAACAAGAGCGGTGCAGAGTATGTTGGATTTCGATTTTGTTTGCCGAAGATCCGAACCGTCCGTTGCTGCTATTGTTTATCCTTTTACTGGCGATCATAAACAAAAATTTTATTGGGGTCATAAAGAGGTGAGTTTCAAATGAAGAAAGTAGTTGGGAGCCTGGTGATATTAAATGGTATACTTCATAAAACTTTTAACATATTACAACAATTGAAAATATCGGTAGTATTATCAGTATCAATATAAATATTAATTTTATTTTTCTGTGAATAGGTTCTTATTCCTGTTTATAAACAAATGAAAGACGCTATGGCTAAACATAAAGATGCAGATGTAATGATCACGTTTGCCTCTTTAAGATCTGCTTACGAAAGCACCATGGAAACACTGCAATTTCCACAAATTAGAACAATTGCCATAATTGCGGAAGGTATACCTGAAAATATGACTAGAAAATTGATTTTATCGGCGCAACTGCGGAATGTGACTATAATTGGACCGGCAACTGTGGGAGGTGTGAAACCAGGCTGTTTCAAAATCGGTAATACCGGTGGAATGATGGATAATATTTTGCATAGTAAATTATACAGACCTGGCAGGTAATATAGCATAATCTGGATTTTTGACTGTAATAATAGTTAAGAAGATAAATTGATTAATTAATGCTATTATTTTCAGTGTTGCTTATGTTTCTCGTTCTGGTGGCATGTCAAACGAATTAAATAATATAATCTCCAAAGCTTCTAACGGTGTATTAGAGGGAGTCGCCATTGGTGGAGATCGTTATCCAGGAACCACTTTTATGGATCATATAATGCGTTATCAAAAAAATTCAGATGCGAAACTAATTGTATTACTCGGAGAAGTCGGTGGTGTCGAAGAATATGAAGTATGCGAAGCATTAAAAACAGGCAGAATTACAAAACCGTTGATAGCTTGGTGCATTGGTACCTGCGCCAGCATGTTTAATTCTGAGGTGCAATTTGGCCACGCTGGCTCTATCGCAAACTCCAATCTTGAAACGGCTTCTGCCAAAAATGCAGCGTTGATGACTGCCGGTGCATACGTCCCAAATAGTTTTGATAATCTTGGTGATCTTATACAGACTGTTTACGAACAATTGGTAAAGGATGGCACAATAGTGCCGGAACCCGAAGTTCCAGTGCCAACAGTACCAATGGATTATGGCTGGGCAAGGGTGAGTTTTGATTATCTATTAATCTGTTGTAGCTTATTAAAAAGAAAAATGTAACAGTGATATGAAAATGAAATAAACTCTAAATTATACAGGGTGACCAAATAAAGCTTGAATTTTTATCTAAAAAAAATATTGTTTCTAGAGAAAAATGTTTCAGACAATAGTTGTATAGTTTCAAGAAAGACTTAAGATGGCAATGATTTAAAATTGGATAGTTTTGTGAAAGTCACGTAAATTTTATGTACTACAATATGGTAGGGGGTTCCATTAAAAATTTTTAAGTCAATAGTCCTCTTGACACCTATTGGGCAGGTGTAAAACTCTTACAACTTTCTTAAAAGACTAGCCTCTCGAAAATGATCGAAACATGTGTTTCGCGGTTTTCCGAAATTTTGAATCGTTTCCAAAATAAAGGGGAGGTACGAAATAAAGGGGACTGGTAGAGATTTTATAGACCCTGTATATACTTGTGTAAAAATGTGTATAAATATATTTTATACTTGCGTATATACATATATGTATATATTTTTTACTTACTGTCTTTGTATAAATAAGCATTAGCTTATTTTCGCATATGTAATTGCTATTTATTAACATAATTGGGAACTAAATATTTTATATTATACTAACAGGAACTTGGTTTAATACGCAAACCTGCATCATTTATGACATCAATTTGTGATGAACGTGGTCAAGAATTATTATATGCTGGTATGCCTGTAACTGAAGTTCTGAAGCAAAATGTGGGTATTGGTGGCGTTGTCTCACTTTTGTGGTTTCAACGTTGCTTACCCCCTACTTATTGTAAATTTTTGGAAATGTCACTGATGCTCACAGCTGATCATGGCCCAGCTGTTTCCGGAGCTCACAATACTATTGTCTGCGCGCGTGCTGGAAAAGACTTGGTTAGCTCGCTTGTTTCGGGACTTCTGACAATTGTAAGCACAAAAGTCTCAGTGGATATATCTTTTCAATTAACACTTCAATTATCTATTATATATCTATTAATCCACAGGGAGACCGTTTTGGTGGTGCCTTGGATGGTGCAGCTCGTATGTTTTCCGAGGCGTACGACACTGGTTTACATCCACAAGAATTTGTAAATAATACACGCAAAAAAGGCGAACTGATCATGGGTATTGGTCATCGTGTTAAGTCAATCAACAATCCAGATATGCGTGTAAAACTTATCAAGGAATTTGTATTGGAGAATTTTCCGGCAAAACCTTTGGTTGAATATGCTCTAGAAGTTGAAAAAATAACGACCAGCAAAAAGCCTAATTTAATTCTTAATGTGGATGGTATTATTGCTTGCTCCTTCGTCGATATGCTGCGAAATAGTGGTAGTTTTACGAGAGAAGAGGCACAAGAATATATTGAAATAGGTGCTATAAACAGTTTGTTCGTCCTCGGTCGAAGTATAGGATTTATCGGTATGAGTATTCATATATAAATTTATGTGCAATTAGCCTATATTTTATTATACATGTTACGTAAAATATAAGTATAATCAATCAATTTAACAAACTCTTTTTTTCTCTTTTAGGACATTACATGGATCAGAAAAGGTTAAAGCAAGGACTGTACCGCCATCCGTGGGATGATATTTCCTATGTACTACCTGAACAATACAATTAAATCATTAAATAATGCATAATACCATAATATATAACGCTTAATGCCTCATCGTTAATCGCTCAGTCCAAAGACCGTCTTAAAAATAAATACGAGATATAGGAAAGCATTAATTGTCAATTTGGATTATTGGTATTAATCAATTATTAATTGAAAGTAATATAAATGATAGTAATATGCAAAATTGGACTGTGAATCATATTATGCACTAAAAATACTATATTCTTATTTTTGAAAACAAATTTATTAATTTTAATTTATAACAAGACTAATCACTTGTAATTAGAAAATTCTAAGATGCACATTGTGAAAAGATATTCAACAATATAATTAGAAATAACTATAACAATATCTTTATATAATTCAGTATAAAGGAATAAATTCTTTAAAACGTCTGTCAAATACATTCCATTAATATGCATTTTCCTTCAAGTAGACTAAACGAAGAAATTGGAATGTTAAACGATTTATTCTAATTAGCTAACATGATTTCAATCGTAACTATTGTTAAGTAAGAACATTATTGTAACTACTAATTACTATTGTTAGTCATATGATTATTACAATAATCATATACTACTAATCACATGCACAATTTTAATTATATGGATTATGAAGAAAGTAGTAAATATATATTTATGAATGCTGCTTAACGTTTTGTTTAATATTTCTTCTCATACACATTTTGTAACATGTATAGATATTTAAATACAGTATGGCTACTAAAAAAATATCGAAAAAATTATCAGTACTTAATCGATTATATGAAAATAATAAATTTTTGTGAAACATAGAAAATAATTCGAAATTCTTGATTCTTTTTTATAATTATTCAACTAATATTTAACAAATTTTATAAAAATAGACAATATATTGTAGCATACCATATAAGTTTATGCATATGGATCTGCATAATATGATACAGATCAAACCAAAATTATAGTCTTTCTAAACAAGATATTAAAAAAGATAAAAAATTTGAGAACAATTATGTTTATCAAGTTGATTAAAGAATACTCAATATAAGTCAAAAAATATTTGTGGCATTAAATAATTACATTAATTCAAAAAATTGATATTGATTATAGGGAAGTCCAGGTTCAAACTTTAGTCGAGGTAATATTTTTCGCAATAAATTTCCTGCATTGACCGATTAATTAACAAACGTGGCCATTTGTGGTTGAATAAAATTTGAAATTTTATTATACTGGCAATTTGAAATTTTTTATTGATTTTAATTTCTTGATATTGATATTATTGAATTCTTGGTAGAAATTTGGCTAAAATTCTAATTTTATTTTGAAAAACGTTCGTTTTCGAGTAGATCCCATTGCGATCCCACAATTTCCTTTGTGAGACCCCATATTGTACACATATTGGAGTATTTTTGAGAATTTTTTCAAATTTTTAAATGTGAATATTTTTCATTTCTTTACTTAAAACAAAAATTGATTTTTTTCATATTATTAAATTTTTACATAAAATTATTAACATTTTATATACTATAAAGAAATATATACGTTAAAGAATCATTTCTGTATTGACAACGTTGATGGACATATCTTATCGACATTCTGAAATCAATGAAAAGTAAAATAAAAGTTATTGAAAAATTATTCTGAACGCTTCGTGCGTACGCACGTGCTAAAAAGAAATGATAATTTTCCTGAAAAAATTCCATATAATACTGTGAAATTTAAGAAAAATTAATGTATAATGTTGAAAAGCAAGAAAAAATATAAAATATTAGATATAGAATTTACTGAATTTTTATTAAACCTATGCTACTTTTCAATGGAAATGATTTTGCACTAATTTTTTACTGAAATATTTATAAGATAATACAGAAAATCGTTTAATTAAAAATATTTATCATTTCAGCAAAATTTTATTTTCAGTAAAATATTATTACCAGAAAAAATTAATTAATTTAAATCTGTTTTATTCAAATAGGTTAATACTATTTGATGATTACAATATTAATTTTATCTTGTGTGAGTTATTTTTTTAATATTCAGTGTAATGAAAGAATAAAAAAGACCGAATAGTATGATAAAATCATTAGCTTTTGATTATTTTCAAATTAAATTAAAACACTTTCCAACAAAATCTATATTAAAGATTGATTTGATAGAACATGAAGTACATTTGTACATCAGTATCCAGAAAATAGAAAAATATAGAAAGGATTATGATAAATAATATAATATCACGAACAAGAAATGTTAGGCATGATTAACTCGTAACTCACTGGCGACTGATTAATAGAATGCAATTCGCTCAGAACTAAATAATTATAATAATAATTATAATAATGATAATAATTATTATTTTCTTATACAATATTTATACTTCATAGCTCAATTAACATAATCCTTGCTCCTCCCGCTTGAAGGAGCGTTATATTACATTTACTGCGGCCCTCATCATTTTTCCTTCGTTACATTATTTAAAGTATATATACTTGGCATATAAAAATTACAAGGACAATTTTATAATGATAATGGTAATAATGGTAATCTGTTATGTATATAGTAATAATAAGATAACGGTAGTTCTAGCGATAGTAGTTGCATATAGTAATAGTTGTAGAAGTTAGCAATAGCAACTATAGCGGTAGTGATAATGTTACTGACAATCATTAATCAGATTAGGAATTATCGTGTAAATCACCATTCCGCACGTATACTTGCTTAAGCCCGATGTTAAATTTCTCCCCCTTCTTGCGTGATCGTATATCTTTTTTACGGAGATGCGTATTTTGTCATTTGTGCCTTTTTGTGTTTTATTTTTTCTTTTCGCTTAATATGTGCTTTTTTTAGCATTAACGTTAACCGCTTAGAATTTTCGGTTTTCGAGTGCGATATTTTCGCGACAGACAATAGATATGACGGTAGAGCTGATTCGTGCGTCGTATCCTTTCTTGGTGCACGAATTCTCTGTTGTTAACGTCACAGCTAAAAAGTGCTTTGTTTCTCACAAACTACGTTATCTTACATTTACCGCGGAAAATATGAAGTAGTATATGAAATTATCTCCAAATAAAATGTCACAAATTACTGTACGTTGCGCAATGCGCTCGTACATTCTCTTCGCATATTATCGTGAACCTTTTATATATATCTTTTAATCACAAATGTCGTATAGTCAAGATGCATAATGCTTGAATAGATTAAAAAAGGTTAATCGTATCTCACCTTTTTTTACTTATTAGTAATTTAGTACTACTTACAAATTACGTATTTATTGAAAAGTAAGATAATAATGAATAAAAGAATAATGAATAAATGATAAAAGAACCAATTTGCTATTATAAAATTTGAAATATCTACTATCGTATTAAATGACTTTTATACCTATTTATAAAATTTGTATAAAATCTTTATTGTTGATTAAGTATCCTCGATTTGTAGCATTGTGCCTTTGTATATTGGTATACTCATAAGGAAAAATTAATCTATCACTTATGCACATTTAGCTGTTTCGTTTATTTAATATTTAATAAGAATTAGTCTTTGTATATATTATATAATGTAATATGTCTAATTATATACTACTTCATATTTAGGAAATGTTGCTTTTTATGTTTGCAACGTCATTGTCTTTTTACTTGCTGTCATAATCACCTGCGAGATACAGGTAATATTATTACGTAACGAATAAACGTCTTTTATCATTGACGGTTTAGGCATTTGCTGCAGAGGAACATCGAATATGAAAATAAACCCACATGATATCGCTATTCCTCAATACAGAAAAAAGCATTCGTAAACAATAATATTCTTTTTTTTTCATAACCAAAAGTTATATTATTTCATAATCAATGTCCCTTGTATTAAATGTAAACTTGTCCTCGTTCTATCTCTGTATTAAAATGAGCCCAACGGTATCTATACAATATTTATTCTTTAATTATTCGTAATTTCGATAATATATAAGTCCATTTCTCCAGACTAACAAATTTATATTTTCTTTAATGGCTTGGGGAACAAGTCACTGTCTATTCCAATTTTTTCCAATTAGTGCGCGACTTGTATTACACTTAATGCCCAATGATATTCAATGGAAAATTATATTATACATTTAATTTACATTAGAAAAGTGTTATTCGCATTGTAGATTATGCAAAAGAAAGTCAATAAATCTATCCAAAATATACACACAAACTGTATATACTGAATGTCCAGCATAAGGAGTCCACCCGTTTGTACACAGATAGAGCTCGTTAAATTGAACTAAAACGTCCTGTATCATCTTGCAAATAATAAAAAAATTTTGAGTTATTGGTTAATAAAGATTTGCGAATCAACTTGCGTTCATTTGTCCACGCGATTTGGCGAGAAGAGTCAGCCCAGCAGTTACTATTGCTACGTGCCTGACGAGGAATTTTTGTAAATAATAAGAGCTATATATGAATTATGTGCTGAATTGTTGTTATTTACACATCATTCCTCCCTACACCTTGCGCGTAACAACGGCGACTGTCGAGACGACTGTTCTCGTCAAATCGCGTGGACGCACGTGGATTCTTTATTAATTAATATTAATAATTCAAAATTTTACGTGGTTGTTCACAAAATGATATAAGACTTTTTAGTTCAGTCTTAAGAGATCTATCTGTATACGAGCGGATGGACACCTTACACTTTATGCCGGTCATTTTGTATATAAATATATATATGTTTTTGTTATTATATACGGGGTGTACTAAAACCACCGGATATCCTTTTAATCGCAGATTCCTTAGAAAATTTCAAGAGGAAAATTCTAATAAAAAAATGTCGAGGCTATGATAGTTTTTAAATAATAAGCGATTATA